GGCGGCAAGGGGCGGGGGCAAGGCGGGGAGCTGAACGATGGGCGGGACTCCAGGTAGCCCCGCCCCGAGCAGCTCACGCACCGCCCCGGCACGTCGGCCCCGCATCCTGAGCACATCGGACCACGATCGCATTAAGCCACGCCCCTGCTCGAATCAGGCCCCGCCCCCTTTACGCCGCGCGCCGTGCGGTTGCCGGTTGCGGTTCCCGGTCCCTTCCCGCCCCTCGTCCATCTCCTTCGGTCGGGTTTCTGCAGCCCAACGGAGCGCCTCAGCGAGACAAAGCCGAGGGCCCCGCGCGGGGCTCCGACAACGGTTCCCACCGCAATTTGCGTGCGTGACAGCGTCGCTACTGCAGCCACGTTCGCACGCTAATAGCGGCCCGCCCCCCCGCTCCGACCGCAGCCGTCGGGCTCGTTCTCCTCCCCGCCCCGCCCCGGCTGTACTTACCGCGGTTGTAGGAGCTGCGCTTCCCCTCCGCCGGTTGCGGTCCCTGCGCCGGGCCGTGTTGGCCGCTGGGGGGCACGCGAGCCCCGAGGAGCCCCGCGGATCCGGCGGTATTTCGCTCCGGCCGCCCCTGCGGGAGGTGCGAGCTGCCGCCCGGCCTACAGCGCGGAACTGCCCGCTGGCACCGGGCTGGCGAGGAACGGGGCGGCCCGGGGGGGCGGCTCAGCGGAGCGGCTCTACTCCTCCTCCTCCTCCTCGCACATGGCTGCAACCGGGGGCTGTTTTTCCAGGGAAATTACTGCAGCAATAATAGCATCTTCAGCGGGCCCTTCCTCCCCTCCCGGCGGCTGTTTCTTTCCCTGAGCGTTTATGGGTCAGCGGGACTCGCGGCTGCTAACGATTGGGGCCGGGGTGCTCCACTGGTCCTGCTGCAATGAGGGCACGAGCTGCCCCCCAGCATTGCATCTTTTGAGCAATTAGGAAGAGTTTAATGTTTATCCTGGCGTGGAGAGTGAATGCTGTCATAAATTGACCAATAAAACACAACTGTTCTGTCATAACCTTGGGATGAAAGTTCTTATTTTATTCAGCACTTCCATTGCCAGACCAGATTGAAGAATGTCCCAGGGAGTTTTATTTTAGGAACGTTTCTGGGCCGTTCACCTGCAGCGCTGATCAGACCAACAGAACAGCAGTTCTTCCTTGCTGCCACCCCAGAGTGCTCCCAGCAGTGCAATGGGCACAGCCTGACCTTGCAGCATCTCATCAGACTCACGCCATGCTCACCAGGGCCTCCTCCTCCTACCAGGGTCTTGCCTTGCAGCCATGGGAGCTCCCAGGTCCAAGGAGCACAGCAACATCAGAGCCAGGACAAAGTCTGCAGTGAGAAGTGAAATGCCATCACGGTGCATGTGACTGCAGGTGGAGGAGCAGCTCTGCCTCCTGCACACACTTGGAGCAGCGATGATGACAGAGCAGTGGCAGGGCAGGCAGCTCTCCCACCAAACGTCCCCTGGAACTGGTGGCAGCAGGAGGAACATCCCTGCCCGCTGCCGTGCACCCCTGGCACACCGTGCTGTGCAGTGCGGTTGTGCAGTGTGCCCCCAGCCCATCGCATCCCTCCCTGCCCTGGGATGACTGCACTGCTGTGGCCAGATTGCTTTTGCTGTGTGGGAGGTGCTGCCCAGCCAGGGCATCGCCTTCCGTGAGCCTTTGTCTGCACCATCACGAATAATATCAAGGTGTTCTGCCAAGTTCCTTCCAGCAAACCTCTGATTTCATTCAAAGTGACAGGGGATCTGATTTATTATACTAACGAGCAGGCGATAAATAAACATGACCTGAGAGAATCCCAGGCCCACAATCCCATTCTTGTTCAGCTCCTTGGGGGAGATGAAAGGTTTCCTGCAATTTCCCAGTGCTGCCCAGAATCTCTCCTACCCGAACTGCCAAAACTTTCCGCTGCTGTCGAGCCTGGCATTTGATTGAATTGACAGAAGGGGCTTATTAATTGCACTAATGAGGGGCTGAGCAATATGGAGCAGTGGAGAGAGTCCAGTGTGGCTGATATAACACTCAAAGCTGCGCAGAGCATAAGGTCACCGCGTTGCCAGGCTACTGGCTGAGCTGCCTGGAAAAATAATACGCAAACCAGTAGGTGACTCTGGGAAAAATATTGCTCCGTAACTCACATAATTAATAGGACAGTGATGCTTTATTTTCTTAGGAAGAATATACAGCGGGAAGGTCTGGAGCTCGGTGCTGCAGCTCAGTGCATGGCAGCAGAGGGGCAGTGCTGGGTGAGCTCTGCTGATGGGGAACAGCAGCGGTGGATTTGCAGACTGAGCACAGATATGCAAGCCAGGCTACAGAAAAAGGTAGTGGGAAGCTGTCCACCATGAGCCACCCCAATGTGTGACCTGAGGGAGGCTGCAGATGGGTGGTAGTGTTGAGGAAGCTGTCCCGTGTTTGACCCGTTACTCGTTTCTCAAATAGAGTTGCAGAGGGAGATGAATGGGGGCTGATTAGAGAGGCAGCTTTGGCAGAAGGATGTTCTTGGGATCTCTGATCTCCTGAGACATTGGTTCCCGCTGGGAGTTCACCATGCAGCCCCGAGGGTTTGTAGCAATAAACAGGAGTATTTTTGCTCCGGTAGGAAGGAAAAAGGAAGAAAAGGGACAAATACAGATCTTAATCTTTTACTTTGCATTCAACTTTAGAGCCCCCATTCAAGTTCTCCAAATGACACTCACCAGGGGAGCTCATCCTCCCCCTTATCTTCACCAGGCCCTGCAGCAGAGCCCCCTGATTTGCAGCAACAGCTCTGTCTAAAGCAAACATCAAGGAAAACTCACCGCTTTCTCAACTCCTTCGGCCTCACCAGGGCTCCAGAGAATGGCTCCTTCATCCCTGGGGTGCTGCAGGGGCTCACATAAGGGCAGGAGGTGTGGTGGAAAGATGGTGGGCAGAGGAAGGGCAGCCTGACCCCTGGGGCCATGAACAATGGCAGAGAGGCATGAGGTGGGGGGAGGGCATAGAACACGAGCCCACCTGCCTGCCCCACGGCCCCTGCCATCCCATCCCATCCCTGCCCCATCCATACCTGTCTCGCCCCACCCTGCTCCATCCCTGTCCCATCCTCCCCCATCTTCCCCATTCTTGCCCCATCCTCCCCATCCCCGCCCTTTAGCTCCTGGTGGCCCCAGCCCTGCAGCCCCTCTCCTCCTGCCCTCTGAGGCAGCCACTTGAAAGCCTTTGTTTCTCCCCTTAGGAGGGAAATGGAGCTGCGGATCAGGTTTCCAAGACGGAACAGCAATTTCTTCCCTTTTAAATTGCCCCCATTTTGTTTCGCTTCTTAATCACCACTGGCCAGGCTCGCAGAGGCCACAAGCACTGGGCACTGCCTGCCAAACCCAGGCCTCCAGCCCAGTGTTGTGCCATCCCTGTGCAGCAGGGCTGAGTGCAGGTGTTGTAGTGCTGGGAGCCTCGATTCTATTCCCACTGCAGCAGAGGTGAGAGCCCAGGTTTGCTGGTGCTCGGGGTGGATCGCGCTGCCACGCTCCTCTGCCTGGCTCCACTTGCCAGCTTGAAATTCACTTGGGAAAAAAAAAAAATACTTAAAGAGACCAACAAATAACAAATAACAAGCCTGGCAGCCGGCCAGCGATTCAAAGGCTCCAAAAATGAACTGAATTTGCAGCTGGCCACGTTCCCTGCCTGTCTTGGCAGCAGGGCTGCTGTCTGAACACCTGCCAAGGGCAGAGCACTGCGGAGCGCTGCTTGGGCGCTGCGGGAGCACTGCTGGGTCTGGAGTGCTGGGTTTTGTGCTCCTGCTGGCTGCACGGAGCAGGTGCTGGGCCAAGGAACGTGTCCTGCAGAGCTGTTTGCAAACAGCGGAGCTCGGCGTGGCTGCATCACCCTGTTCCTCTGCTACATGCCCTGAGCAGAGCAACACTGCAGAGTAGCCCAGTGCTGCTGGGGCTGACGCTCTGGAGCTGATGGAAGGGAGGCTCGACTGCATGCAGGAGGCACGGGGAGCTGCTGTGAGGCCAGCACTCCACAGGGCATGGCTAAATGTGCTAATGCTGAGTGACACCAGGGCACGGGGAGCGGAGCTGGACGGCACTGCTCAGCCCCCCACTCCAGGACGGTGTCATGCAAAGCAGTAATTGGATCCTGGGATTTGCTGAGTGATATCGTGGATTATTTCACAGCCATCGTGTCCAGGGGTAATCTTGTTACGGTATTACACAGCCACGTGCACGCACAGCCCTGCCGTGCCCACGCGGGGATCTGCTCCTCCGTGCCAAAGCATCGCCTGAAAGCTCACAGAGGGATGGGAGGTGTGCAGGAACAGCAGCGAGCTGGGGCAGAACCAGGCTGAGCAGCAGCTTCCTGCTGCAGGAGGTGCAGCCGAAGCCCGACTGCTTCCTGCTCCTCCCAGGCCATCGGTGTGGGATGCGGACGTGCAGCGCGGGGCACAAAGTCTGTTTTTCAGTGAGGGAGGGACGATCTTTGGTGCTTGTGCCCCAATGAACTTCCACCCACAAAATACGTATTTGTGCCTGGCAGCAGTGGGTTTAATCAAAAACAAGCTTCTGCTGTGTTTTTTGGTTTGTTTATGCCCAGCTGAAATGCTGCAGCTGCAGCCAGCTCTCCCACAGCAGATTTCCAGCAGGTTAACTTTGGACTGTGATGATAACGAATTATCTGTTAAACGCACATTGGAAGGGAAGCTAATGGGAGTGTGTCTGACATGTCTCTTGCTGCTCCTGCTCCAGTTTTCTCTGGCTTTTTTTGTACCCATTAATACATTTTGTCCTCTTTAGCCTGTAAACCAGGGAAAGGGTAGCAGTGTCTTCATCCCAAGAGGGAGCACGACCTGCTTAGAAAGAAGGCAAGCTTTATTTATCCTGAAGTGGGGCTTGGGGAGTAGCAGCAATGTTTGTTGATCCACAGCTTATCAGCTGTTATTAGAAAGGGACGATAGCACAGAACGAGCAGCTTGTGGGGCACATTTACCCCCATCTGTTTACGGGATATCTGGGATCTGTTTGGATGGTGGCTGAGGTTGTTCAAGGATCTTCTTCTGCATCTCTGTGGGGCCAGCACATGCATGCACATGGCCAGATTCCTGCCACGGGCTGCTGTGCGGCTGTGACTGGGTCAAAAGACATTTTATGGGGCACCCTCAGGTGAGAAAGCAGTTCTGGCTTGTCCATCAGAGTCATCAGATTGCTTTGCGTAACTCCTCTGCCTTCGCAGCTCAACCACAGGAGTTATGCTCAGCAAACACAAAGAGCACATGAAGAACGTGGGGCCGAATCGGGCAGCAAGCGATGGTTTTCGTGGGTGCTTGGCAGTGTTTACAAGGGGTGTAATCTCGGGCTGTGCTGCTGTGCTGTCTGCCCATGGCAGCGCTGCTCTATCTCAGACCAGCACTGTGCTGTCGGTATTGCGGGAGCGTCTGCAGGAGTGCAGCTGAGCTGGGGATCTCAGAGCACGCAGGGAGCTGCAGGACGGCCGCACAGCAGCTTCTAGGGCTAAGAGTCACCTGCAGCCCTTTTGCTGAAGCAAAAGGCAAAGTCCTGTCAGCAGCGTGGGGCCAGGACTTCCTCCAGCGCTCAGTGTACTTTGGTGGCACTGGACTTGGGCCTGTGTGTGCACAGGGAAAGGGCCCAACCTGCTTCAGAAGGTGCCAGCCCTGGGGACAAACACGCAGCACAGGGCCCCACCTCTGCCCCCGTGGGCACCAGCCCTGCTCACCCATCCCAGCAGCTCCAGGGTTGGGCACACCAGCAGCTGCCATGCATGCAGCACATGGTGCTGGGAGCTCCTCTGCAGGGAATTTTCCTCCCAGTACACGCAGTTGAACAAAGCTGGAGAACGGAGGCTTTCCTGACATTGTCCATCCTGGATCTTTGGGAAAGGAACAAGCAGGGTTTTGGAACAAGCAACACATCTGTGTATTTACACATGCACACAATAGGTCGTGTGCTCACCCATGCTGAATGGGAGCAAAATGTGGCTGTCCCACTGCCAAACCCTGCCAGCAAGGGGAAGGCCAGAAGAGCATTGCTGATACGCAGAAGCGAGGGAACTGCCAGCACGGTGGGGGCTTTCCTTCCATTGCTCACACCCACACAGCCAGGGGGGAGCAGTGGGGTGCTGAGACAGAGCTGCTCCACCCCACACCCGGCTGCTGCCGTGCTGCTGCCAGTGAGCCACACTGGGGCACCCGAGTGGGCTGGCAGGGAAAAGACACAGAGCAAAGTCTGTGCCGAGTCCCCATGGCCTCACTCAGCCCCAGAAGCTGGGCCACTCTCACTCCATGGATGTGAATGCATCTCCAGCAGCTCCAGAGCTGCCCTGCTTGGGTGCCCATAGGGTTCTGCATCCCCTTGATCAGTGTGGGGGAAATGAGCACATCCCTGACCCCTTGGCTGCTGCCTTACCCTCCTGGCTGTCACAAGGGCACAGGGCAGCCCTGGTCCCATCCTGGTAGAGAGAGTGCCTGCTGTGAGGACAGAACCTGATGGCATGGGGCCCCAGGGCTGCAGGTGCCTTCCTCCTGCACTGCTTTCCTCCTGCACTGCTTTCCTCCTGTACTGCTTTCCTCCTGCACTGCTTTCCTCCTGCACTGCTTTCCTCCTGTACTGCTTTCCTCCTGCACTGCTTTCCTCCTGCACAGCCTTCCTCCTGTACTGCTTTCCTCCTGTACTGCTTTCCTCCTGCACTGCTTTCCTCCCACAGGTGCCTTCCTTCCCAAGGTTCCTGCCAGCCTGGCCACCCTTGCTCACCCCGTACAGGTAACCAGCACTTCCCACATGGCATGGAAGGATCAGGCTCCTCTCATCCACCCAGGCCAGGAAATCCCAGCCCTCTGGCCCTTGCCAGGCTCCAGGTTTAAAAATACTTAAGGAAAATAATCCTCAGCCTCATTGAGGCCAAAGAAATTCTGGGCAGGTTTCAGAACAAACATTGGCGGCTGTGTTTTGTCTCCTCAGCTCCCACACTCCAGCCCTTGGCTGGGCACTCGCTGCCTCCCGGGGACTCACACAGCAGTGAGGTCCTGGGTCTGTGTTGGCAGTGCTGCCAGGCAGGGCGGCCTCTGGTCTCATCCTGCTGTGTGTCCCGAAGCCCTGAGGTTTGTCCTCGGCTGCTTCAGAGCTCGGAGAGTGCACTGAGCTCCCCAAAGATGATGCAGAACTGAAAATACCGAGTAACACACAGAGAAATCAGGCATTGTACAACATCCCAGGGAAACAGCTGCTGCAGTGTGGGACTGGAGCTGGAGAGCAGCCTGGAGCTCCAGATTTTTCCTGTGGTGAGACTGTCCTGAGATCACCATGTAAACATTTACCATCCTTTCAGGAACAGGACAAAGGTGCAGGCAGTGGGGGCTGATCCCAGTAGTGTCATCATGGCAATGGATGCTATTGGCAGCAGCTGTGGGTCACACGAAAATAACACAGGCTCTGTGGATGGGGACAGACAGCAGGGAGGGGACGAGGCAGGTGAGGCAGTGCAAGTGACACATGAAGTCATTTTACGTGGGATATGCTTAAATGATTTGCAGAGCCCCCACCTCTTCCTCCCCACCCCGAGAACAGGAATAAAGTCATTAAAACAGAGTGTTCTGGGACAGCAAAATCCTACTGGAGAGCACTGAGGCCTGGCCAGGTCCCCCTGCTCTGCAGAACCAGACCCTGCACCGGTCAGACCAGTCTGGATGTCCCTGAGGCACTGGCCCCAATGTGAGAGGTTGGGAATGAGGTGGGGTTGGAGCGGAGTGTCCCTCTGCAGCATCACCCCGAGGATGGGTCTCTGTGCCCCCCACCAGCGCGGTGCTGCATGGCTCTGCCATGTTCCAGCCCAGGGTGTGATTCACCTCCAGGTGGGCTCTGATCCCCTCTGAACCCCAGCCACCCCCTGCAGGCATGGAGAACACCAGAGCGGGGATCTGTTGGGCAGCCAGCGCTCAGGGAGCTGCTCTGGGAGCAGACAGGCAGCAATCTGCAGTAGGGCCAGCAGCCCCCGCAGCATGCAGAGACCTTCCAAATCCCCGTGGAGCAGGAGCCAGCACTGAAAGTACACCGAGAACCACCACCTCCCTCTGGCTGCAAGGACAGCAAGGGAGGATGAACAGATGTGATTTCTTGTGCCAGATAAGCTTCTTGGCAAGAGGTGGCATGCTGGCATATGCTGTACAGCAGCAGCCCCGGGAGAACAGCCTGAGCACATTGAGAGGTGAGGAATGGGCACAGAGTGGGGGAACAGCGAGACCATGCTCTGTATGATGCCTCTTAGTGTCCACTGTGCCACCTGCACGTGGCTGAGGATCCCTTGCACCCTGCTCCCAGCCACGTCCATCACTGCGTGCGCAGCGTGAAGGTTGCAGCAATTGCAGGGATTTTTCTATTGATCATTGGTGGCAATTTTAAACATTTTCTCAACAATTTCTTCCTAAGACACGTTGTATTGTAAACAACGACAGCAGTTGTAGCACAGCCCTAAACAATGTCGCGCCTTTGTCATCATTCAGAGGAGCTGCTGCTCCCCAGGGACTGCCCTGACGCCTTCTCTTCCACAGCCATTGTCCCAGGGCTGCTGGGGTGGGTAACCTCTGGACCTGGAGGTGGGCTGAGAAGTGTGAGCCCAAAGGTTCAGAAAACCTTCCCAAACCATCAGGAAGCTGATGGATATCTCAGAAGGACAGGCTTTCCCTGGAGATTTCCAATAATTCCTGGATTTGACTCCCGTTGTTGCCTCTTATCAAGCAGGACACGCATGCTGACAAAGACGGGAGGGCTGAATTTGCAGCTGCTAGAGACATTAGTGTCAATGGAAACCAAAGCTAGTGATTATATTTTGAGGTTACTACAGGCCCTTAGTGTTTACAATGGGATACAGAAATCCTGAACTGGAATTGCTCTGCTGTGACCTCTCTGGAAGTGCATTGGCTGTACCAAATCTTAAACTCGATTAGCAACGAATGCAGCCAGTAGTGAGGGTGGCAAGGCTGCTTATAGCTGCCCTTAAAGGGCAGCTTTGTTGCCCAATATCCTGAAACAATATCCTGTTTTCCTCATGAGAAAAAAAAAAAATTCCTGAAGGGATTAATACTAAATCCATCTTCTAAAGGAGGCGGAAGTGCAGTGGCTCTGAGCATGGCTTTCCTCCATCTACAAATGAAGGAGCATGGCAGCACCATCCCAGCTCACTGCTGCTCCCATCCCGTGTCCCGGCAAAGCACTGCTTGCAGGCGAAGGCACTGCAGGAGTGGCACTTTGAGTCCGCTCCCAAACTCCCTGTCTTTAATCACTGTTCATCTCCCGATGAGCGCAGACCTCTCCCTGCTCTCTGAGTTGCTCAGAGGTAGATGCAGCAGGAAAACCTGCCACCCACTCGCTCGTTGGGTTGCGTTGTCCTTCAGAAGTGGGTGAGTGAGGTTGCTCTGCTTCCAGCGGGTGCCCCCAGTCACGGAGTGCCCCGACATGCACAGCACACACCCATGCACACACTTGTGGGGTTGCAGAGTTGCCTTTGATACAGAAGGGATCGCATCTCCTGCTGCTGCTCCTGGTCTTGTAGCTGGGCTCTCCCCTTTGTTCCCTGCCGTGGCTCTGAGGTGAATTACACCATACTTCTGCTTTAAAACAGAGCGTTCAGCATGCAACCCAGAACACAATTAACTTCATTAGGCTGCGGGAGAGAGCAGCTACAGAAGAACATTCAGACTAACAGTCATCTGTGCAGGATTTGTCACATGCGATGCGTCACCGCTGCAGATCTGCATCCTGAGCATGTGGAGCTCTGGTGCTGATGTATGAACCTCACTTGTGTGTCATGCAGTGCCTTTCTGTGCCCAGGCTGTGCAGCAGCTTTGTCTGCAGCAGGATGAAGCAGTTGGACATCTCGGAGCTGGGGAGACCTGGTGGTGGCCTGTCAGCACATAATGGGGCTGTAAGGTAAAAGGGGACAGATTCTTAAGCAGGGTCTGTTGTGATAGGATAAGGGGGAATGGTCTTAAACTGAGACATAGGAGGTTTAGGTTGGATATTGGAAGTTTTTCACCCAGAGGGTGGTGAGGCACTGGCACAGGTTGCCCAAGGAGGCTGTGGATGCCCCATCCCTGCAGGCATTCGAGGCCAGGCTGGATGTGGCTCTGGGCAGCCTGGGCTGCTGGTTGGTG